TCGCCAGTTTACACTATCAACTCAATTAATAAAACCAAAAGATCTTTTTAATACCCCCAACGACGGAGCACCACGGTTTCTTTAGAAACTTACCCCCTTTTTTATTCATAGCATCAGTTAAGATTCCGAGAAATTCTGTCTTTGTTTCCCTTCGTACGTGGTTGACATATCATTATGTCTATTACCTTTTGTAGTTTTGCCTATTTGCGCATTATACTTCTCAGTGTGAAGTGATTTATACTCCCGTTTGTGTTCACTGTCTGCTAAGCAAAGATAAAGGTAGCCCCAGCAGTGCAGGCAGGTATCAAATGGGCGTTATTGTTTATAAAAATGAGGAACAATAACGTGAATGAAAATGCAAATGTTTTCAAAATGCCCACTGCCAGTCAACTTAAATAGGCGCAATGAAATGATTTTTATGTTAATTTAATGTGTTCAGAGAAGTTTGGTGGCAAACGATCTCAAAGAGCAGTAAAGTTATAACAACAAAGGAAATCTTGGTAAGTACTTTTTCTTCTTCTTTCTTCTTTCACTTTTGCAAAGCTGAGCAAATATTCAAAAGTTACCTCTTCATTCGCAAGCGCCCAGTCAGTGGGCAGTACAATGGAATTGTCAGTTACGTAGGCAATTGTTAAAATCGTGTTTCCTCGAGAGAACTTGAACTGTTGGTTTCCTTTATGAAAACTGTGAGGAAAAAATTCAGGGTTTTTCTGAGAGATTTCAAACAACCAATATAAGGTTCATGCACTGACAAAATTGATTTGAAAAAGCCACGATGATCTGATTGTGTTTGATATTTTTTTGCGTGATTACCGTTAATCTTCTACACCACCGATTTGCATTTAGTAACATGCGCTCGTCTCTCCTTCTAAAAGACGACACCGTGTACACCTTTCTGAATCTTGAGGTTTGCCAACGACATGCATCGCATCGCCTCATTTTCGGGATTGGCGGAGATGCTAATTTGAGATGAAAATTTAAGCAACGTCAGTTTGTAAATCCCAAACTTTATGACTCGTGCCCTTTGCTTATCATAATAATTATCATGCGACAGGAGTTAGAATCATATCATTATTTAAAGCTCACAGATTTGTCGAGCGGCAACCATAATGGTGGGTAACAAGTATGTGACATGAAAGAACATCTAGGGGTCGAGAAATTTGTGAAACTCGGAACTAATGATACAGAATTTTCAGCTTCTTCGTCATAACTAAGCAAGTTTACCCTCACCATTTCATACTGATAATTGTACATATTAGAGTGATTTCATCTGCAACTGCCGATAAGAGGCGCAAATGGATCTCTCACCCAGACCAATAATAATGATCGTGTGGCAAAAAAATCAATATAAGATCAAATCATATCAAATGAAAATGCACGCGTGTTCCAAGTTACGCGGACGAAAATTAGCGTGGTAAATTTTATGTGTTTGTCTGTGGCGTTGTCTATTTTCACATCTTGAAATCATCTCCTTTGTCCTTATTGTTGTTTTTCAGAGAAAATGACGCACTTTTCCCTTCAAGCTGCGGTCAAGACTGCCTTTTCAATTTTCCTGCTATTGCAGTTGTAAGTATAGTTTTGGGTCGGTTGCATTTTTGGTTAGTTCCAGGATACGTTTGTTATTGTAGTCGTCTCGGTTGATATGATGAGCCAAATTTTATACTTCTATCCAGGCATTTCGAACATCGCACAAAGTTAGAGAGTCTTAATCCTTCCTTGCAGATCAAATGGCGACGTTATTTCGAATTTTTTTTCTGGCTACGACAAAGCAATAAGACCCGGCTTTGGTAAGTAAAAAGTAATGTTTCCTCGAAGGGATTTTTTTTAAGGCGGGGGAAGGCAGG